TTTTTTTTTTCATTATTACTTACCTGTACCGCGAGAACGCCGACAATCATACCGTGCGTGACCACCGCTTAATCACATGTGACCGCACTATCATTCCTTCCTCTTTTTTCACCGTCGCTCATCACTTCACATCATTTAAGTTGTTCATCATTCACTGTCACTCGAGCGTCACTACATTCGCGAGATCATGCACGCAAACACCTTACACTCAGTTCATCACATTCCCTGCATATTCTCACTTCATCACCGCACTACTCATTTTCTCAACGGATTCGCTCGAACTGCACAACACGTGCTCCTGCATGACGTCACACATTCCATTGATTGATCGCGATCCATGGCTCGCCACTAGAACAGTACGCGACACCTGCCCGTAACCGCGCACACCAATAAATTTCGTCACGTACTGACGAGGCGGGCGGGATGTTCGAAATGCATATGCGGAAAAATTCGCGTACCAGTGAAATCCGCATTTTCTATTATAAGCCCGAAAATTCGAAAATAACGGGCGGCGAGAAACTTCTCGAAAAATCGATTGTTGACTAAAAGCCAACCGTTCAAGTCATCTCTCTCTTTTTTTGGTCGCACAAAAACGCTCAGTGACAACAGTTGACAATAACATTGTCAACTGTCGCCGAAATCCGCGCAACGAACGGGCATGCGCGCCCGTACGTCACGATCAGCTGATCGCCAATCAGCTGATCGGAAAAAGTTGTACGCATGACAAATGTTAACCGCCTATTTCCTGACCTCATCGGCGGCCAATTAGGTGCGGCGCCATGAGGTCACCGCCAAAGTTTAAAGTTAATTGGGCCACGTCGCAACGAGACCCAAAAATCCGCCCGGTATATAATGGGCCCAACGCGAGGGCACACCGAAGTCTCGCACTTTTCGCACAACCGCTTTCTTAGTTCAACCGCTTCGCTAAAAACCGCTTATTGTACACGACCGCTTACTCACTCGGACTTTTCGTTATTCTCGCTTCACTTCAGTGTCTGTAATCAAATATATTTTTTGTGTAAACCTTATTTCTTTAATTGTGTGGTGTTAAAAATAAAAACTCTATAAAAGGAACAAAAAATATACGTGTCGTGGCTCGTCTTTATTGCAAAAGATTGTGGTGTCTTCATTGTCGTCATTTATCGTCGCGCCTGTCTCCACGGCTAAGTCATTCGCGAACACCATTTAAAAAATTCAAGTCGACCTTGACATGACCTTCACGACGCCACCCAAGGTCAATCAAATTTACCCATGTAATGCATTACTTCATCTTCAACAACTTTTGTCTGAAACATTTTTCAAAATAACCACTTCCTTTGCTTTAAAATGGGGTGTACGGGTGGTCTGAAACACCCGGTATAAGGAGGAGGAAGAGGAAGTAAAATATATATATGTATAAATGCCTTGTACATGTCTTAAAAAAAATTTTTTCGCGAACAATTTATGTTTGAAAATTTACGTACGAAAATTTATGTACAAAAATTTAATTTCTTTATCAATTCTTTATATTGTATACTTTTTTATTAAACTCACACATTTGAATAAATTATATTATATATTTTTAATTATAACAAAAAAATGCAATTATTTACATGTCTTTCCCTTACGCTCCAATCCTTCGTACGCTCTCGCATTAATTATAAGTCTTATTATTATAAGTATCGTTCTCTCTCACACACGCGACAAGGGTACAAAGCAATCGAACATCGGGGGCTGATATGTAAACGGGGGACAAAGGCTGGACCGAAATATCTCAAAAATATAAGTTTATGAAATAAAGTTATTAAAAATATATATAAGGGTATAAAAGGTTTTTTTACAATATCCCATTTGCAAAAAAAAAATTTTTTGTCCCCCCGACAATCTCTGAAAGCTTGTCCGCTTAATCTCTATTGTTCATACGTCGAACGGGAAAAAAAACCTGGAATTATCTATATTAGGGGTGTACTTCGAGAGTACAAAGCAGCCGAACATCGGCGCTGATATGTAAACGGGAGGAGCGGGGGGAGACAAAGCAGTCGAACATTGGCACTGTTAAAATTTTTCCTCAAAAAGTAAAATAAAAAATAAAATAAAAAATAAAATAAAATAAAATAAGATGATAAAAAATGATTTTTTTGGTTAGGCCCAAAATCATCTTCAAAAGAATATCGCCCTTTTTTTGTTTATGCATGTCATAAAACATCCAAAACGTGCATCCCCCACCCCGCAATCCCCGCGTGACGTCATACCCCGCTCCGCTGAGATCCCCTCGCACCTCACCTCCCCTGGGAGGACCTGAGTTAGAACCCGCCTAGTACTAACTACTGGCGCTCTTCTCAGCGGCGGCGCGCCGAGCGATTTCGATCACGTTTACGGAGTCTACTTCGCCGACGCGGGCACTATGCTCGGGGACAAGCGATTCGACGTAGGCGCCGACGACGCAATATTCGTGGACGGAGTCAGATACGCCGGTACTCCCGGTCTGTACGAATTGATCTTCAAGAGAATTCCCGACGATTTCAAGTACACCGAGAGAGACAAAGCCGCGTACAGGAGCATACTTCTGCAAACTAACGCTCACAGGCGCGAGCACAATATTCGCATGCCCGTACTGGGAAACAAAGGATACAAGTACAAGCACGTCATAGCTCCGATCCTGCGGACGGACAGTCCGAGGAAGAAGATCGGCGGGGGTCGCGTGCCGCGGGCTATGCGCGCGACCCGCGACACCGTGAACTACGTTCACTGGGACGATCCGAACGAATTGGTGGATTGTCTAAGATTGCTGGACGCTTCTCGTCAAGCCGGCAACAACGCTCACGACAACGAGATCCTGTCGATAATCGAGGAGCTCCGCGAGGCGGGCGAGATACTGTGAGACGATCGCGGCGACGCGCGCCTCGACGACGCGATGTTCGCGAGCAAGTTCGGAGTGTCGACGCGGAGAAGACGCGGTCGCGACGCGACGAGCGCTAGATTGCGCGCGAGCGTGGAATTTCTGCGAAATTACGTGCGCGATAACGCGCTGTGCCTGACCGTTTCCGACGTCTCTTCCTCCGCGTCGCATTACGACGCGCGGCGTCTCAAGATACGAGGAGTGGCCTGGCCGACCGACAACCACAACGCGACGAACAAGAGTTACGTCGAAAGCGTTATGCACGCGGTGAGAGCAAACGTGACGAATAATCGCCAGCTTATCGCGAGCGCGAGAACGCGAGCGGATAACAACGCGGCCTCGACGGCGCAGAAATTCGTCGCTCTGAGCAAGAAGATCGACGCTCTCAAGAGCGCCGCGACCGAGAGATCGAGCGCTCTGGAAGCCGACTTTACGCGGATTCACGCGAGGGGGAGCGCTCTCGAGAATCGGCTGCAAACGCTGGAGAATCTGCAGGAGCTCGCGACGAGGATCGAGACCGTCGAGGCTGAGAGATCGGCTTCGCGCGCGGTTGTCGACAAGCGACTGGGCGATCTGGAGAGCTCCGTCGAGACGAATCGGACGAACGGGGACGCGTCGAGCAAACTGTCGCGCGAACTGGGGACCTCCGTCGCGCGGCTCGAGGAGATCGGCGAGAAAACGGAGAAGCGAGTACGCGCCTTGGAGAGATCTCTGTCGCACGTGAACAACGTAGCGGCTAACAACGAGAGAAATCGAGCCGCGTTGAGCGATCACGACAGAACGCTGCAGGAGTTGACGGCGAAGGCGCTGACTTCCAACGCGAAATTGCGAGAACTGGACGTCGAGGTGGCGCGTCTGAGGAAAGACGCGAACGAACTCGCGAGGAGAACGGCCGCGACGACGACGACGGCGACGAGGGCTGCGGCGAAGGCGGCTGCGGCGGCGGCTGCGATTCCTAAGACGATCGATCCGAATAAGGTAATCATACAACTGGGCGCTAAAACTCCCGATAAGCAACAGTCGAAGAGAGGGTAAAAAAATAGAGACGGCGAGATGAGCGCCGCGAAACGGAGACTCGTGAACGAGCTGCACGCGCCGGCGAGAAAGAACTTCCCCCGTCGCCGCGTCGCGGTGCGCGGATACGACGATCTGTGGCAAGCGGACGTTGTCGAGATGCGTCCTTACGCCGGACGGAACAGAGGCCACAATTACATACTCACCGTCATCGACGCTCTGAGCAAGTACGCGTGGGCGGTACCGCTCAAGAGAAAGAGCGGCGACGAGGTCGCTCAAGCCCTGTCGAGCGTGACGCGCGCCTCTGGACGTCGCCCGAGAAATCTGCAGACCGACAAAGGAAAGGAGTTCTACAACACCGAGGTGCGAAGATTCGCGGATAGACACGGCATCAATCACTACTCGACGCATTCCGTGCTGAAAGCGTCCATCGTCGAGCGTTTCAATCGCACGCTCAAGAACTCGATGTGGAAGTACTTCACGCTGAACGGAACGTACAAGTGGCTCGACGCGCTGCCGCGTCTAATATCCGAGTACAACGCTCGCAAGCATCGAACCATCGGGATGCGTCCGATCGACGTGACGCCCGCTCGAGCGTCGAGACTCCTGTCGACGGTGTACAGCCACCCGAAGATCGCCGCTCCGGGAAAATTTCGACCGAACGATCCCGTGCGCGTGAGCAAGTACAAGACGCTGTTCGAGAAGGGATACACGCCGAATTGGACCGCGGAGATCTTCCGCGTAGCCGAGGTGTGAAGGACGAATCCCGCGACGTATCTGCTGAAGGATTCGCGCGGCGAGCCGATAGCCGGCGGATTCTACGAGCACGAGTTGCAGCGAGTCTCCGATCCCGACGTGTATCTCGTGGAGAGAGTGCTGCGCCGGAAGGGCGACGCGGTTCTCGTGAAGTGGCTGGGGATGGACAGGTCGCATAATTCGTGGATAGACAAAGCCGACATATTGTGACGAAAAGATACATCGCGCGTATTGTAACGCGTCGCAACGAACATATATATATTTGTAATATTAAAGATAAGAAAATACATCGCGCATATCTGTAAAAAAAAAAATACATCGCATAGCGCTTAAGATCTATCCGCGCCTCTCCTCACAGAGGTATCCTGTAGTGCCCCCACGGCAGAGTGTCGGTCGAATCCGGCACGACGTAGCGCTTATCGTCGTACGGACTGAGCGCGACCTTTGACTCGCGCACGGTGTACACCTCGTGTAACTTGGATTTCAGGCACGACTGCTCGCGAGTCATTTCGATCTCGCGTCTCAGGCAGCGCTCGTAATCGTCGAACGTCAACGTTCTCGCGACGACGCTGCTCCTCACGCCCTTGCTCTTCTTAGTGTCGCCCCTACCCTCGACTCGCAACGCGTACATCTTCGCTCTGAGTCCGACGAACTCGAGCATGAGAGCGCCGTTGTTCTCGTCCTTCATCAGACCGAGAACCTTCTTATTCGCGCGCGGCACGCCGTAGGAATTGTCGACGGCGTAATCGCTCGTGTCGAATCTATCGATGTCGCGCTTCATTCGCTCGTACGCGTCCTCGCACTCTACGCTATAAATGAGACTGTCCGTGTCGGTGTACAATATCTTACACTTATCGCCGTAGAGCGGCGACATGTATTCGTAATGAAACGCGTACAGACGAATATCTTGGATATATCGAGAATCGACATGCCTACGTAGATCGGTTTGTCGATCTTCACCTCCAATTTGCGCAATTCCACGGCCATGAGATTCTCCGAGAATACACTTCTACTGTGAAAATTCGGCTTGGAGATGAGCGCCTCGGCTCCGAATCGACCGTCCCATCGAGTTGCGAGTCGAACGTCCACGCGATTGCGCACGTTCTCCATGGTCTTGCCGAAGACGGCGTTGTTCATCAATTTGTACAGATTCTTCTCGAAATCGTTACTCGCGTTAGCGCGTAAACGCGTGTTAAGTTCCACGTATCCGTGTAACCACGGCGATTGCGAGAAGCGCAGCGCGCGATGAATCCTAGTCAGACGTCCGTGACGAACGCACTGCTGCAGATTGCGATAGTGCGTGACGTATCGGCGCTTATCGTACAGCGTGGCTAGGAGTTTGCTCTGCCGCTTCCCCGGCGGCTTATCGCGCGTGGGACAAAACGGTAGATCGGCGTCGTGCGCGTCGGCCGGATAGTCGAGATCGACCTCGAGAATGTAGCCGACGGTCGAGTCCTCCGTCACGGACATCACGTCGAGACTCTCGAGGTCGTCGACCCACTCGAATCGCTCGTACGGCAACGGCTGACACATCGCCCAACCGTACAGACTGTTGATATCGAGATACATCAGATAGATCGACGGTCGCGACGGATCGTACGCGCTCATGTACTTGTTGTTAGCGCGAGCGTATCTGTTGGAGCACTGACTCAGACCGCCGCGTATTCCGTGTTCCACGAACATCATCATATCGACATCGGTGAGCAGCTCGAAACGGACCCCCGTGTACTTGAGCATCGCGTCCCACGTGTATCCCGGCAACGTGAAGTAGTACGCGGGATCTAAACCGTAACTCTCCAAACAAGCGGCGCGAAAATTTTCGAACACGTCCGCGAGCAGAAGAACGTCGGTCTTCAGATAGAGATCGCTGTACTCGCCTAGATTTTCGAATCGCCGAATCGCTTCCAGACGCGCGTCGCGTGCGCGTAATCGCTCTCCAATACGGTGTCGCCGGTCAGAGAACTGTAGAAGGACTCGCGCGGCAGGAGACGCGTCTCCCGCAATCTCTCGACGCTGTCGACGTACTCGTACGGAAACACGCCCTTGTGCGTGAGAAGCCGGAAGTCGTCGTCGGAGGAATCGCGAAACTCACCTCGCGCGATCGTCAGTTTGCTCTCGTCGAGATACGATGCCAGCTTGTCGAGACCGGCGCCTAAAAACTTGAACGAGTCCACGAATCGTAATTTGACGTATCTGGAACGCGCGACGTTTCCCCCGTCTCCCTCCGCCGCCGCCGCCGCGCTATCTCGAACGGTCTTAGAGAAAGCTATGTACGATTCCTTCGTCACCGGCAACAACTCGACGCTGCCGGGATACGCGTTAGCCACATCCTTGATAATGAAGTGCGCATCGTAACCCGATAGATTGTGAAAGAATACGGGTATGACGTAGGGGTCCTTGTAATTCAAATTACACGTGGAATCTCTGAAACGGCCGGTCAAGTGACAGTGATCGCGCACGCGAGCGTCGCCGGCCTCGAACGGTCTCTCGCACGCGTGACAGCGCGACGCGCCCGCGAACGTCTCCCGCTCGTCGGACGTCAGATCCGCCATCGGTATCACGTCGTCGAGGGCGACCTTCGCGCGAAGCGCCAGATCGCGCAGCTCGCGCACGAACCACGCGACGCAATCCTCGCCGCAATAAGATCCGTACGCCGACGCGGCGTCGTCGAAGGAGCAACGCGTGTAATAGGCCACGCTGTGAACTCTGTGATGCTGAACGATCCGCGTATTCTTAGTTCTCCCGCCCTCGTCCCCCTCCTTCCTCTCCAACGCGCACTCCAGATCGGCGTACACCGCGAACGGAATTCGCTCCTTTTTCGAATGATGCTCGAAGTCCAGCCACCTGTCGTCCTCGCCGGGAAGAACGATCGCGCAATCGTTCAGCTTGCCGAAATCCTCGCTGTGCGCCGACAGCTTCTGGCTCGTGCGAAAGTAATGCATGCATCTGAAAGAAAATACGAAATAAACGCTAGCTCGATATCTCGCTCGCCGAGATCGAACGCTCACCGATCGCACACGTGCGTCCTGTGCTGTCGCTTGCTCAACTGCGAGCCGATCAGACGAGACAGATCTCGAATACAGGCGAAATGTCCGACCGCGTTACCCTCGCGCGTCGCATCGCTCAGATACAGCAGATTGACGTGTCTCTCCCTCTTTCGATCCGTCAGACGAAGAGGGACGATGCGAATCCCGCCGTCGCCGTCCTTCCCGCGTCGTCTCTCTCCGACGGTGTACACGTTCACCGATATATCGTTCAGACGCTCGAACCGTCCGATTCCGTTCAGAGTCATAGGTAACTTCGAGCCCTCCAGATTCAACACCTCGGAGTAATGCGGATATCGCGAGCTTCTCTCGCGGTGCTTATCCACGGGATACAGAGCGGCGACCACCGACCACGCGAAACACGCCTCGTCGTCGTCGGATCGCACGTTGACCACCGCTCTCTTCGTTTGAATCTCTCGCGGTACTCGCACGTGGCACCCCGCCCGCATGGGATTGTACACATTCACGTTCACCGTTAGATCGAGTATGCGCGACAGGGCCCATCCGCTGTCGCGCTCTTGAAACTCCTCCAAAGACGCGACGGTATCGCCAACGACGCGAGTATCGTACCACTCGCGCAGATCCGTCGTGGGTAGAAGGGGATGGTTTCTCGAGGCGATCGTCTTAACGGCGATTTTATCGCCCGACACGAATTCTCCGTTGAACGTCGTGTTCACTTTAACGCTGCGATATCGGCCCATGACGTCGCGCACGCGGCGGAGCACGGTGTCCCTCGCGTCCTCGAGAAATCTCAGAGGTTCGATGTAATCGAGATTTATCACAGCGCCGGTCAACACGCGTCTCTTGAAAGCCGTCTCGACCTCGGACCACGAGAATCCCTCGCGCGACTCGACCCCGCTACCGCCGTCGTCCTCGCGTCTCGCGACACCCGCGCCCTCCCGCTCGAAGCGTCGCCGTAGATCGTTCCTCGCGCCGATCACTCGCAGGATTCGGGCGACCTGAGAGGTCCTCGCCCCCGTGGAGATTCGACGACTCGCGTCCAGGCACCTCTCGCGCAGAGTCGCGAGACACTTCTCGCACCGTCGCGTCCACGCGCGATAGTCGTCCGTCGTAACGACGTCGTGCGCGCTCTCCAGCGTCCGGCGCTCTTCCTCCCGCATGGTCGCGTCCTCTTCTCTCCCTACGGCGATTCGTCGTCCTCTCTCTCTCCTCCTTACGGCGAGGCCTTATCCACAGCGTCTCGCCTCGCGAATCCACCGGCAGCGAAATCCCGCGACGCGTCCCGGTCGCCCGCGTATCTCCGGCGTCGAATCTCGCCGCTCTTCCGCTACACACCAGGACCGTCTCGATCCACAGCTCCTCGCGCCGCTCATACGCGCGCCTCGTCGTTCGCGAACCTATCTTCCCGAAAAAATAAACGATCGGATAGACCGATCGCGAGGCGTGTGCGCGCCTCGAAACGACCGTCGGCGTCTTTATACTCACTCGCTCGTTCGAGCGACGACGACGGCGACGTCGCGCGAGCGGGAAAAAATTTCTCCGCGGTCGCGCGGTTTTCGCCTTCGGAAACGACGAATCCGTCGAAATACCGCATTCGACCGGATTCGGCCGGACCTCGCGCGCGCGTCTCTCGCCGCTGCGCGTTCGAGAGAAAGAAACAACGACGGAAGCGTCGCCGCGAATATCCCTCTCGTCTTAGCGCGACGCGCTCGAGAGGAAGGAACGGCGACGGAAGCGTCGCCGCGAATATCCCTCGCGCGCGCGCGAGTAAATCCTAACGGAATCCCGCTCATCTCTCGTTATCGCGCTTAAAAAGGAGAGATAAGCGGCGAGTCCGAGAACGCGCGACGACCGCGATATCGCGTGAAACCGCGATATCGCGCGCGCGCGCGACGAGGTCCTCGTCCGATCGACGCGTTCTCCGTCGATCCTCCAGAACGAAGGATCGACGACCTCCATCGACGAGAGAGAAACGCCTCTACTCGCGACGTGTTCTCGGATACATCGTACGCTCGTTTTACGAAACGCGCGCACATTTAGGTTAAAATTCGAGCGATGCGCTCGCGCGCGGTGAACTCGCGTTCGACGTCTACGACGAGACGAGGCGAGAAACACCGCCGCGCTCCGCGTGCTCTCCCGATACATCGCGCGCCTTTTTTCTTACAAACGGACATAAAAAATATTCGAATTTACATTCGAGCGACGCGGAAGACGCGATGGAAACGCTCGAGGCCGCTCGTCGCTCCCTCCTCGGCGTGTCGAAACGACGCGAGCCTGCGGAGAGGCGCGTATGTGTTATATAAATATTGCATTAATATTATTTAAATATTATATAAATATTATATAAATATTATTTAAATCGCATATTTTACATTACGTCTCTTCCAGGCCTGCGTCGAGCGTATCCGCTCTATTATTAACATCGACCTTATCTCGCGCGACGCGCCCGACGCCGGGGCGATCGCCGCTTATCGCGCGCGCCTAGCGCGCCGCGTCCAGAGACGCTCCGACGCGCCGTAACCAGGGACGCGCGCCCGCCGTAACCAGGGACGCGCGCTCTCCCCCCCTCTCCCTCGCTCTCGCGCGAACCGCGCTCCCCCTCGCCCCCGCCGCCCTACCCTCCGCGTGACGTCGCGACCGCCGTCCGCTCCCCCTCGCCCCGCCGCTCCCTCGCCCTTCCCCGCCGCGTGACGTCACGACCCTCCGTTTACCCACCCGACGGCGAGCGGCTCCCCTCGCCCTACCTACCCCCCCTGCTCACCCGCGCCGCCGTCACCCTACCCCTCAGATATCTTTCTTTCTCTCTCGCTCTACGAGACCTCTCTCTCGCACCCGTGGAAAAAGTGGGTTAGAAACGGTCTATTCTCCCTACTCATATAGAAAAATTACAAATAATATTATAAAATCCATTGATATATGTTCTCACTCATTTTTTCTTTAATTTTTCCAAGGCAGAAATTAAAAGTAGTGTATGTGTAAATGAAGATGATTTATACATAGTAAAACAGCTTAAAGAAACTATTTCTCAAAACATAAAAAAACGATTTCCAATTCATGAAACTCATGTTTGCGGAGCACTTCTGGATCCAACTCTTCAAAATATTAGAAGTGTTGTGGAATATCTTACAGACAAGCAACAATCTCCTGAAGAATTTTTAATATATATGATCCACAAAATGATTCCTTTGAGTACAAATAATGAACAGGTTACATTATTTTTATATTTCAATTTTTTCTTAACATTTATTTTAATTCAAATATCAAAAAATTAGTATAACTACATTTTGTCCATTAAGCCAATTACTTTTATTATAATTTATATAAACTATATAAATATCAATAAGCAATATCTATTAAGTCTTACAAAATCTTAATAAGATTTAATATTGTAATTTATATATGGATTTTATTTTTATTTACTTTAGTTTGTGTTTGCCACAACTATCAATCACCAAATATAGAGATATAAGATTTTTATTTATAATATATATTTATTATTCTTATGTTTAGTTCTTGGTTTTTTATAATAGGTATCTAATAAAAAAGAGGCAGATAATTATTTATCATCTAAATCGTTTCTTGGAATTAAAAAATTACGATTAGAGTTAGCTGCAAAACATACAAACATAATTATTCCTGAAGATCCTATTGTCATAGAAGTTAAAAAGTATTTACATATAGTAGAATTTGTCGAAGATCCTCTACAATGGTGGAATAAAATGAAGTTGTCACTGCCAAATTTATATAAATTAGTGTGTTCCATTTATGTTATACCGATCACAAGTTCAGCATCTGAGCGTGCATTCTCTTCTGCAGATTTACTTATCACAGCAAAACGTTCTACATTAAAACCATTAAAAGCTAATAAAATATTATTTATTCACGATAACTTTAAGTTAATAAAAAATACATATTTAACATCAAAATAGTAATATGATAGATATAATGATTAGAATAAATCATTTTTTATTTTTGTTGCATATGTTGATTTTATTGTGATAAATATATAATAACTATTTTAAAATAAATTTTGTTATTTTGTTGTAAGAAATTAATAATATGAATATTGTGATGTACTTTAAAAACAAAAGTATTTATGTTTAAACTAATAAATATATTAAACTAATATAACATATTTCATAGAATTTTTATATAAAATAAGTATTTATGTAATAAATGTTTATATAATAAACAAAATTGATACCAATGATCTCGAAGTTTTTTGTTTCTACACTGTTTTATTATAACTAAAAGTAAAATATATCATTTATATAGAACATAATTCCATACTTATCTAAAAAAAAAAGAATTTTTACTAATATTTTAATTTAAAATTAATTATAATCTATAATTTTATAAAGTTTTGAATATCTTTACGATGTTTTTATAAATATCTTTACTATGTTAAAATGTGTTTAAAAATTAAATAAAATTAAAAAGTAACAATACATTTCAAGATAAAATGTATATTTAAAACGTATTTCAAAATTTTCTAATATACATATGTGTGTATGTGTATTTATATTAATATGCCCATAATATATATCAATAAGTTTACTTATTCAACTATATTTTGAAATTTGATACTTTTATGTAAAAAAAGATATAACAACGCCACTGTTCGCCGCCGCCGCAGATAAATTATCATCCGCCGATTTCGCCGCCGCACAGTGGTCTGACGCACAAATTTAGACGGAACAAAATCAATTTTTTTATATCAATTAAAATATAATTTAAATTTATATTCTCATATCAAATACTCCAATTAAGGATAAAATCGGTAAAACATAATATAAAAAAAATATATAAACACAATAATGTAATAACGTACGAAAAATGTATTAAAATCATAGTAAAATTCATGACGGACACTATAGTTTTGTACAGTATTTTTGAATCGTACAATATTTATAATAAAAACATCAATATTTTTTAATATTAGTAGTTTATGTTAAGATTATTTTACTTGCGTATAAATATGTATTTATAATTTTTAATAACTTTTTAATAATATTTAAATCTTGAAGAATTAAGATTTAGGGTCATTTTTTATATATAAAGAGATATTACTAAAAATTAACACATTTTAACAACAAAATTCAAAAGGTCAGATAATGTATATACTTTGTAATTTGAAATCCCCTTTGTTTCGTTTGCATCCATTTGCCCCAGTAATTTCTGTAGCGTATTGAATATTTGAATCCAGTGGTCTGGCGCGTGAGTTTAGACGGAATAAATTAATATGAGCTATGTTTTTATAATATTATTGTACAGATTGACATTAATTTTAATTCTGAGACATATGTCTCGGAATTACGTATGAGACATAATATAGATAATTCCAAAGATCACACATCACCGCTCTCAGCTAAACCCAGAGTCACGAATCGAGGACGTGGCGGTTGTCGACTCAATTTTTTATTTTTTTTTACTTTTTAAAATTTTTTTCTTATTTTTATATTTTATATTTTTTTTAATTTAATTTTATATTATTTATATTATTTTTTTATTTTATTTTATATTTTATATTTTTTAATGTTTAATTAAAATTAGAATCATTTTTAAATGTACAGATATACTGTAGAGATAGATTAATAGATAATTTCCATAACTTTGTTATGTAAATAACACAAATACAAATTAAAAGGATTAAACACTAAAAACAAAGATACTTATTTTAATAATTTTATGCAGTCTTCCGAAAGCTTGTGAATTTGTTTTTTAGGAATATTTCGAAGCGAGGAAATAACTGGATCAGATGATACGAGGAGAATATGTAATAAATCTTCATTACAATGTAATCTAGAATCTTTTCTTGTGTGATGCTCTCTATAAGTTTTATAATTTTTATTTCGACATTCTTGAGCTTCTTCCGACAATTCTCCTATTGGGAGAAAGGCATGTTTAATAACTTCTGCTCCGTGGCGTAATATCTTATGAACACTTGCAGGGAGATAATACCATGGGTATAGTGATACAAATAATTTTGCTGTCTCAATACCATAAATTTTAAATGCATCTGTATTTATTTCGTGTCCACTAGCAAGAACCGATAAAATATTACCAAATCGTTGAATTAAATCTAAATTGATTTCAGTGATTTCTGCAGATTTTATGGCATTGCTAAAAAATTTTCGGGCAGTATTTCCATCGTTCGTTA